ACACACACACACACACACACACACACACACACACACACACACACACATCTTCTTCAACAAGTGTCATCTGATGCCTTCACTCTGTTTTCTTTTAGTGGAAACATCCACCATGGTCTCAGCTTTTCCCTCCTATCTGGTGTGGGATTTTTTTTTGTGCCGCGTTCCTAGAATCCCTGAGTACGAAAGAAATCTAAGAGCGAGACTGTGCCATCAGTTGAACTGAACCTCCAGTACAGACTGATGCTTAGTGGGATCTGGTCGACTGCAAGTACAAACGTTTACAATCAGCTGCTCGGAATCTCAGTGACACATGCAAACAATCAGGACAATTATGGGGCACGTTCAAATAAGCCCACCGTCCATTTGGTTTGTCAATTACTGACATGAGGAAACAATTTCAGGTGCTGATGCCATAGTACATGCAGCCCACCCTCCAGTAATATCTGGAGGTAACCAGTGGTATGATTTAAGTGGTGGTTATTGCTTTTATTCTCCGGAAACTGCAAAGACAGAAACACTTTTCCCATTGCAGTTAAGTGCAATAGGAAAGTGCCACATGTTGACACATGACATGTGCCACATGTCACATGTTAAGTGCGATCACATATTTTAGTCGAAAATGAGAAGCCCTAGTGTTTTCTAGTGCCCACCCCTTGCTGCTGTATGCAAAGCAAAGAGTTTAAACCCCATAAAGGCTGAAAACGTGTTATATATATATATATATATTTATCAACTAGTAAAGATTTTGAATCCATTTTTACTGGCTTAATATAGTTCGGTACATTTAATCTGCTTCTGTAATTGTATTTTATTCTGCCCTTTTAGAAGCATTCTACTGTTACAAACAACAAACAGAGACGTGGGGACATTTATATGGTGCAAGAGGGCTGAGAAGATCTCAATCAACCTGACAAACAATATTGTTCAGCTACCATCATGGAGACGCTGTTGCTGCTCAGGTAGACCGGTTGAGCGAAGGATTTGCACCGACAGGTTAACAATTTCTAACCCTGAGGCTGTTTGGGCTTTCAGCAACAGCACACACGTCATGTTACTAACAACAGAGACGATTGTGCTGTCAACCAAGGGTTTATGGTTTTCGCATGAATGATGAGAAACACAGAAAATTCAATGCAATCACCCACTGGTTTTATATCTCGCATGCGAGTACGTTTGCCAGCAGCTATAGACAGATTGCTTTGGTTTAAGCAAATGATGAGAAACCTGAGCAGTTTGATGGAAAACAGATCACACCGTGTTTAAACTTATGGAAATAAATGCTTCTCATGGTTGAAATGTTTGAACGGTGCAGATAACAGAAATTATTCATACTGGATGGTAAGTCTCAATGCTGAAATTAGTACTCTACAGGCATTTATAACCTGCACAACTGATTCCTTCATATAGACCTTCAACTATGGGACAACTCTTGTTGAAAAAATGTACTTTTTTCTGCCTGGCAAGAAGAAAAATAAGGAATGAAAAATTCAGAAATAGGCGAAGCAACAGCAGAAAGGAAAGAAAACAGTTTATTGAGGTAAAATCATTAAAAGCTGACAAATGAGACGTCTTCGGTTAGTGTGTAGGCAATAGAGGAAAAGACTCAGACATGCTCAGAAAAATGAAGCATAAGATTACAGGAAGTGTGCAGAGCAGTGGAGGCTTGGACATATGTTACAGAGAAGTATGCATGTACACTGCGAAATACTGACATCATCTTCTTCATCATCTCTACCTGCATGCGTGCATTTTATTTACATATATAACTAAATAGAGCAGGATAATATGTTCCTTAAAACACTTTTTACAACAAGAGTTTGTTGAAAAAAAAAACATTTCTCATTCACTTTTTACTTGTGTTGTTAAACTTTTGGAATTGGGACATGCGTATAAGAAGCCATTATATAGTGTGCCAAATGACGGGCTGCAACTGTGTTGGTATGAAAAATGGAAGCAATGTATTTTTAATGGTGGTCAAAATAAAATAAATACAACATAACGAGACAAAACTGTGCTTACTGCACATTGAGCACACATGCTGAAACATCATGATGCCAATCTCTCAGCTTGTTGTACATGTGTCCTATAACTTCTGGGTCCAACTTGTTCGCTCTGATTTACCCCATAAAACAGGATTGAAGGAGAAAAGACGAAGAGAAATTTGGAAAGGTTAGGATTGTAGAAGAAAATTAAAAGATAACACAAGAGAGACCACATTGATATGTGAGGGGGGGAAATAGCAACAGCACCAACAAAATAATACAAATAGCACAGTTGGAGATGAATATAGAATGAGAGACTTTTTCCTTGCAGATGTGTATTGAATTATAAACCATGGTAGAAGTTTAATATGCCCTCAAAGTCTCACTAACAGAAAGAGAGCAGGAATCTCCTTCTGGCAGGGCTGCTATTACCCACAATACCACTTAATTACCCACAGGTTCCAGTGAGTGACACACTGATTGGTTGAAAATCTGGTACGGAAGGCAGACTGTGTTTACTGGAGATTAAATCGACTTAAGACTGAGTACAGCGGTAGCAGTCACAGCCTATGCTAAGTCTATGGATGTCTCCATTCAACCATCTTCTCCTGAGAGCTCTCTTAGCGGTTTCTTCAAATTAAGCCTTAAATTAAGCGTGATGCTGTGGGACCATAAGATCAGGAAATCAGGATTTACAGGCTATGAATCATCCAGGAAGCGCTTAAATGAGTGCTTTGAGGGCCAACTCTGAATATGAAACCTCTATGATCAAGAAATTATTATTATTATGAAATACAAAAATACTCACAGACAAAACACCGAGACGGAGAGTGAATGAACACTCACAACCACATACCAAATTTGATTATATCATAAAACACCAACCACTTACTTCCTTCCACTGATCTCTGGAGCAGGCTCTGCAACAGTGAAAAAGAAAAACAGCAATGAAAATATAGTAAAATGAACAATAAAAGGTCAGTGGGAATAGGGGGAGACACACTGTTAAAAACAACGCTGCTACTGGCTGCAGCTCTATTGCTGCACCAGCTTGTTCTATGTTCATCTCGTCAAGGTAAGAACTGAATGAGCAAGGGTAATCCCTGCAAACTAGAACCTGCTAGAACTTCCTGGACGTATTCCCAAATTGCTGACAGCTGCAGAAGCATGCAGGCACATTGAATATACATCAAATGTTCAAAGCACATGGCAGACTCCACACCAGTCTGGTAACATCAATCGACAGAAAGAGACAGTTAAATATCTCATCTTTACTTCATTCTAATTCTTATAACCGAGTTACTGTAAATTACATTTTGCTTAAGCAGATTCATGCACACATTCACACAACTAACCATCGATGTCACTTATCGTCAAAACAGTCTTGTAAAAAAAAAACTTTTAAATCTTACAGTGATGACAGCCTTCTTAAAGTACTATGACTAAAGAAACTGTATCACTTTAATCTAAGAAATAACATTATAAAGCAGGGACATAAATAAAGCCATATAAAAGCTTCAAAAGGAAATAAGATGCAAAGGATTACCATAACATTGGTAACCTTTGGATAAATCTGTCATGTGCTCCGGCCTAAAGTGGTTTGATGGATTTAGAATGAACTGACAGAAACACGAAGCTAAGCCTGACAATATTCAGAGACTTCCTAAGATATTACAGAAATATTTTGAGCCAGATTCGACCCTTTAGAAAAAAACATAACCACTGCAATATGTTTCTGCTGAGCGTTGAGCCTTCACACAGAGTGGTACACACCATTTTCAGTGCCGGTGAGCTGAGCCAGCATACGGAAAGAGCGGGACTGGGAGGTGCCGGTTCGCGGGTGCCAGTCCTCCGTGTCCTCAATCAGACGCTTCTTGCTGGCATCGCTCAGCGGGGACGCATGATCCTCGGGCTCCACATTGGGTTTCCTGTACACAGTCAGATCAACCATCATGATGTTACAGACGTGGAAGGACTCTGTGTTGTATCAATGATATTTATCACTGCTAAAAACAGCTGTTAAAAATATCTGCCAGTTTACACACAAGTTAACATTAATACAGGAGTAACAACCAACACACACAGTACACATATTGTACTATGCGATAAGTGCACCACATTCAAACATGGGTGCAGCTTGTAGATACACTGACATTGACCCGACTGCAGTTTAATTTCAAAATGACCTTCTCCGTCTAGCTGGAGGTGGAGTTCTGCAGGCGAGCAATTAGAAGGTAGTAAGGGAAAAATGCGCAAAGGTAGAAACGACAAATTCAAAAGTCACATTAAGTGCTGAGTAAACTGTATGACACTGCACTGTTTATATGAAAGTCAAGAAACTGTTCTGACCTATACATTATATTATACTATATATTAAGACTTCTCTGAGGTTCACTATCAGAGAGGAAGCCACAGAGTAGAGGAGAAGAGGTCAGCCAGATAATAAAACATCTTAATTGATGAAGCAATTAGATTTACTATAGTAAAATGGAGAAATTAAACACACCGTTTGCAGTTTAATGACAGTGAGTGAAAGAGGAAAGTGACAGTGACCACATCTCACCACAAGGTGGGAGTAATGTGCTTTGAAAACTGAAAGCTCACCGTTTCTTCCTAAAACAATTTGAGTGTTCTCTAGAACACAATAATATTTAGGTGTAATGTTTACATCCACAGTTTAGTTCAAGGACTGTTCCGAACTGTGAGTCAATTTCATGTCAAAAGTCCAAGCATGTGCATTTTTTATTCTCTGTGTGTTTGCTTCTGTTTGTGTCAGGTGAGTCGGGGTGAAGGATGATCAAAGTCGGCCTATTCTTAACCACAGCAGAATGTATTTAGCAGTAATCGTCTGACCTAAACATACTGACGACAATAGCAGATGGAGCTAGACAGATGCACAGCTGGGTAACTTGAACAGCCGAGTGTGCCTGGTTGTAAATGCAGCATTAGCTAACACGGAGCCTTATTCCACTGAGAGAGTGAACGAACAGTGTGAGCTGACCCCCCCACCCCACCCCCACTGCGCGTCCTGTGGCGTCTCAGAGATAAATTACGGGGTTTCGCAGTTTATTCAGACCTTAAAAATGAGCATGTACTGGAAGCGGATGAGCACGAATGTGAGGTTTGTGAGGGTTAGCTCCAAGAAGTGCAAGCGTGCTGTCATTTGGTAATCATAAACCAGAGAGATGTGAGGGCTGTAATCACATCCCACATAGTTAGAAAGCTACTGCAGCAGATGTATCATCATTCACAACACTAACTTGGTGTCTGTCTCTTCTTCCTCCTGTGGGCAAAGAAGGGGTAAATGGAAAAGGATCGAAGCAAAGAAGGAGCATGAATAGAGCATTTGAGAAATCAACCATACTCCGAAAATGCATGCCCTTTAAGTGAAAGGCCCTTCTGAGAGAATGTGCATGAAGCAAATCCACAGAAAACACAAACAACGCATGCAGGTCAGGATACAAACGCACACGCTGCAACAAATACACTTCCATTCTTTAAACTGCAACAGAAAGCGTGAAGAAATGACACTGATATCTCATTATTTTTATCATTATCTCCATGGTGTATTACAGTAAATAGCTTTGTTCTTTACTATTTGACATCTTCACATGTTATCTGACCAAACCCAGATTAAGAAAAAGATTCTAAAAAATGTCCCAGTAGACCGTTCTCACTACTGTTAACTCTGTAACTTTGTAAAACACATAAAGATAGAGGTGGCTTTGGCAGATGTATTTAAGTGTGAAGCTGCTTGCTCACTTGAAGCCAATAAAAACAGATCTCTGTGACCTATTTTTTTCAGATGACAAGAGAGTAAAGAATGAGTGGCAAATTACTTAGCTAGCCTTGCTCAGTCTACCGTGACCCAACCGGTGAGCCAAATCCTGCTAATGAAGCCCAGTCCAGCCAAATTTAGCTCCGTTCCTAGTCTCTAGAAGGCTAGAGCTGCCAGAAGTCTGGCTAATTAGAAACAAGTGTTCCACCAGCAGTGCCTGTTGGGCAGACTGTGTGTTTGGCAGTGCTAAGAACCACAACGTCAATTATAGATAGGCAGGCAGTAGCATCAGTTAGCAGGTTGTCTAGATTCTCTTCGCTCTCCGGTTGCCCTGCAGAAAATTCAAACAAGATGTGCGGCATGCTTCGGAATTTCCTTGTATGCAGCTGTGTGAAAACAGATAGGTCATGGGCTGTTTCAATGTTAGCTTTCCAAACGAGACTCATTTTTTGAGGTGGAATAGGTAATGAGGTGTAGGAAGAGCAGAATGGAATATTTTATTTTCTTCTTGGCAGACTGTAGTGCAGAAATGTCTGCTAATCTGTGGCCTCTATGAACCACAACTCCTTCTGGACTAAAGCACACAACGTACATATATTTCTAAATCGCTCTATGATCATTTGCTGTTACACTGACATAAAGGAAACATATGGTGGTTGGATGATTGGTACCTACCCATTGATGGGCTCAGACAACCCCTGGCTCTCCAAAAGGCCGCGTCTCTGTCCAATGACCACCTCACAAGCATTGTTGTTGGAGTAGAGGTTGATAGGTGTGTTATAGACGGAGGGCTGTGGGACATTAGGATGGGAGGAGGGGGCTGTCACTCTAGCTGGAGAAGAGGAGTTGGATGAGGAGGAAGAGGCAGACGGGGGGGTGAAGGTGTGGCGAGCAGGACTGGGCCTGGGAACTGAGTTGGCTGGAGGGGACTCCGTGGCAGGGAGGCTTGACTTCAGCAGAAACGGAGGCTGTGGTGGTTGAGAAGGGGCAGCTGGCTTGAAAGCGGAGGATTGTGAGGGAATGGAGGGGGCAGCCACGGAGGAAGCTGTGACCACACTGCTGTCCCCCCCAAAGGGCCGGGCTGTCTTGGTGTATGCAGTGCTCGGGACAGGGTGAGTGATTGGGACTGGCTTAATGATTTCTTGAGGTTCGTCCTGGATCAATGTGGAGACACACAGCATGCAAATACAGCAAATCCACAATGAACTCATGCATGTAAACCAGCATTCTCAAAAGCACCGCACAACAACCAAATCAAAATCAAGGGTGTTTTCACACTTATGTATGAATGAAAGTCATGCCTGTGCTATACAAGTTTAAGCGGTGCTGTAACATGAGGCCTGTCAGGTCAGTAATGCATGCCAAGCCAATGTGTTTTCTGACATAATCTCAGAAGGGCACAATAAACATGCTCACTTTTAATTAACTGTTGTAATATGTAAACATAAAATGGATTTCAGGTCAACTTTAGTTTAAAAAAAGAGTGAATATTTTACTCCTTACCTTAGGTACTCCATCTTTAGGGGCACTGGAGGGTCTAAGAAGACAGAGAGAACATCATATAAACACTACACTCGCACCATATGCATAACAAACATTCATCATTTTGCAATGAAGTTTAATTTCTGTACATTAAATGAGTGGACATGCTAACTGCTCTGAGAATCATACTTCAGTTTCTAGGATGGATAGTGAAAGGGTCAGATTATTTTGCTGTGAGGGCAAATTAAGGGCAACATTTTTAAGTTTACTGGTTACTTTTTTCTGTTTAAAATACTTTTTATTATTATTATTAATTTTTTTATTGAATGCTTCCTCTATTTTTTATAAGGATTATTGTATCTTGGATGTCAGGACATCAAAAAAGGAAAAACTGAATTACTGCGTTATAAGAACACAACTGTGATTTATAAAATAAATAAATGAATGCACCAACGTTTCCAGTGATACATTAACATCTCAAGCAAAGTATAAGCTCTGGAAATGGACTCTTATTGTGCACTGAAATAAATGGAAAGTAGGAAATGTTCTGTATGCTTTTGAAGATGGTTAAGTAAATGTAATTAGTAGTTGTTGCTAAAACAAGCAAAACTACTAGTATGTGTGAACATGCTGTACTGTAACATTTGAGTCAATGTGCAGACTGATGTTGAGGCGTAGTGTACATCTGATTTACACTTATGATTGAAGCAGCTGTCACAGTTGTATCACCTGTGGGAGAGAGAGGGGTGGACTGTGTGTCTGTTCTGTTGATGTGCTCTGGATAGAAACCGGAAAATATCCAACAAAGCTTTCATTCCCTTCTTTTGTTTAATTCGTACTACTTGCCAGCATTGTCTAGCACAATATAAAATAAAATAAAACACACACACACACACATTAGGATGTATTGTGTATTAATGGACTGCAAAGCCCCCTTTATGTCAAACAAGGCACATGTAAGTCCATGCCAGTTAACTAAAGTGTCTTTCACAAATTCAGACAAATTCAGACAGCTGGATTTGTTAACAATGCGTGCCATATTTGGTCTGAACATGCAGACAAGGTGTCCCTTAATTCTCATTAAAAACAAAATAGAAAAATAGACAGTGAGTCAGCAAGTCAGGTCCCGGACCAGATGCTACAGTGTGTCCGCTGCCGTACTTCCTTTCTACCATATTAGGAAAACAGTCAACCAACTCTCAAGCCTTTCCTTTCTAACTGAGCCGAGGTGCAACAGCTGAGCTTGGCACCGTCAGGTTATTAAAGAGCCCCACCCTCCAACCAGATGTTGATGTCATCCGTGCCCATACTTGCATTTGAAGTTTCCACTTAGCAGCTAATATACAGTATATGCTCATTTTCCAATGTACTCATATTGTTTGTCTGATGGAGAAGCAGACGGCTATGCCAACGAAAACAGTAAAAGGTCTAAAGATTAAAAAGCACATTCCATTACAAATGTGGAGTCAGTCTCCAATGAGGCAATGTGTATCTGCCATCAGTGGCCCGGAGAGGGGCAGCTGGGCGGATTCGCTCCCTATCACTCTTTTTCCCAGAGAAAACTGAACAAACACTCGCTAGGGTGGTCCTGTGAACATCTGTTCAGCTCAGCCCCTCTGTGCTGTCCTGCTCCCTGGCTAGCTGGACCTGCTTTTGTTCTGCTGTGACAAAGAGACTTGATTTATGTTGTACATGTACATATTTAATCACAATAAAACAGATCTATTCGTTGTGCAACATGACTGAACCAGGCATATAGGACTTTGGCTAATAAGACAAGAATACCTACTAAAACATATACAGTATAGATAGAACATTAAGTGTTTTTCTCTATAAATAGTTGAGCATTTGTCTTTTTTATGTATCACACAACAGTATAATTATCATGTTCATCTGTACTTTTAAAAGATGTCATACAGTAGTTTCTCGCGAACGAAGAACATGAAGATACAACATATATAATATTAAACACTCGTGTGTTATCCTCTGTATAACGATGACTATGTGATATTTTATGGGTCTCCTCTAATTATACTTCCATAAATACAAAAATATCTGTTTTTCTTGTATGTCAAAGTGCCTCAGTTTGTGCGACTGCATGTGTTCATAATACTGACAAACCAGTTGAAGGTACAGTCATGGCTTTGCTCAGCCCAGAACACGCTCCAATTGGTTCCTCTTAATCTAATCAGGATGCCTTGTTGTATTAGATTACAGATGCTGACATCTACAATACTTATTTATGGACCAAATTTAAAACCTACATACTTATAAATAAAGCTAATAAATAAGTGCAAAATATAAATAAACATTATCTTGGAAGCAAAAGTGTTCTTGGAAGAAGAAAAAAGTTGTTGAGTTTGGTTCTCATCAACTTAGACGTGTCTGTGCAAACACACACACACACCCACACACCCACACACACACAGAGAATGAGGAGGTTAACCGGAGGAATAAGCCTGAGGGCAAAGCAGAATGACACATTTCCAACCCTGCCCGCGTCTCTCTGAGGGCCAAGAGAAACAGTCTGGCATGTGTCATTTGACTGAATGATGGAGCAGCTAATAGACAGCTTTCTCACCACACACACACATCTTACCGGTTAACAGAATAACATACGAGTAGTTTTTAAATTTCCCCCACATTGTTTTCACTTGACTTTCACACATGTTTCTTTTGGAAAAGTACCAAAGAAACATATAAAAGTATCTTCTGACTCCAAGCATCTGTCACCCTCTCTTTAGCTTCAATATCTAAACAGAGCTCTGTTCACTCTCATCATATTAAAAGGAATCTGAACTTTGCATAGATATTACAGAATCACAGAATTCACATACTACTATAGTAACGTCACGCACATAATACGTTATTCCAAAGCATTGAACAAGGCCCGCCCTCTTATATTTAACTTGTTTGATGAATGTTAAAACTCTGTGGGAGAACCTGGCAAATCTGTTTTCTCAGATTTACCGCTGCCTGAAAATTTGAGCCAAAGCATGGAGAAGAAGGAAAACAAGAAGCAGAAAAAAAACACATGGGAAAGCAACACAAAAACTCCAACAGAGAGATGTGGAATAAGCGGGTGTGGAAAATAATATTCTGTTCTGAACACATGTGTTCGCCTGTGCAGCCAGCCTATCCGCTCAGTGGCAAAACTCACAGCTTGTGTCTGGCACATGGCCTCTCTCCCATCTCTCCATCCTCCCCCTCTTCCCACTGCTCCCTCATATTTCATCAAAAATGAGCTTCCCGGAGAGGGACGTTTGTGCTTTTATGTAAAGCTTATGAGGATATTTCTTTGGAAAGAGTCACAACAAGAAGGGGACAGCGTTTTTAAAACTGCAACAGTGCCAACAATGACAGAAACATGACTGCTATTACCAGAGTTAACGCTTATCGTGCAACTGGACAGCCTGTTGCTGCTGTCAGTTGCCTGGATACTTGCCCGTGTCTAATGTGTCTGTACACGTGTCAAGTAGGGACCACGTGCACTGGTCCATATCAGCAGTCACATGCATCATCGTGACGGAGGACATTCACACCATTTATTTCCGTGTGCCTTGTCAGGACCCTCTAGAGCACTTCACTGTGTGAGTGATAACGCTCTGGTCATGTGTGCTCGTCTTGACAAACAAACAGTGGAATAAAAGTGAACCACAGGACAAGAGAAAAGCTATTACAACTTGAATTCAATTGCATTTAGCAATCAAACGAGCATCCAGATCAGATCGATGAATAAAGCAAGCAGGGAAATGAGGGGAGCTCTCCTCAAGGCCAGTTCTCTGGTTGCAGCAAAACCACAAAAGAATAAACTGCACCTCTAGTTAATACATTTATTTAATGTAGATCCAAGCAATGCAATAACAAGCCTCTATCCTTTCTTACTTTTCTTCCGACCACCATACCACATCTGGCTAAGACAACCAGGAGTCATAGGGGCTGCAACTGAGCTGTCCTCCACTTCACCCTGTTATAACCATTTCATAAGACTTGCTGGGAGAACATTAGCCATGTATGAGCATATCTGTAGATGCAGCCGCCTAGCTGCCTTGTGATTACAGTAAGTGGCCTGTGGGCAAAAAAATAATCCTGTATAAGATTTATAAGTATAACGAGACTAAGAGGATGTCTAAAAGATCAATGTTATGTTAATGTATTTCATTTCCACCGTTCATCTAGTGAATTCCAGAGAATGAACATTAACGATCTGCCAGGCAGCATTTCATCTGATAGATTGATATAACAGTTAACATACTTAAGAAAAGCGTTACATCGTCCTTTTTTACTCCAGAAACAGCATGTGTTTGAAGCACACAAAATGAAAAACACACAAAACCTGAATGAAACGCTCTCCTGCTGTGGGAGCTGACTTGAATTTGTGTGTAAAGCATCGGAAGATGGCGGGATAGCAGAGCTATAGCAGTGTTGATATGTTTTATCTTTGAGGTTTTGGAACCAGGTGCAGCCAGCCGCAACCTCTGTGGTGCTTTTTTTGCGCTGCACTGCATATTTCCATGTCAATAAATAAACATCAATTATCATACTTTCCTAAGGCTACTTCCCACAGCCGCCTTGTGTATGTACTGTCAGCTTCTCAGCAACAAGATTTCCATGAGAGTGGAACAAAAAGTAATTCACCGGTCATATCAAGTATACATCAAGAGATGTGTAATCAGAAAACATGTTTTGATCAAATCACTATCACAAGCTTAAAACTCAGAACGGACTGTATACATGGAGCATGTTCTGCTGAGGTAGATGTTATTATGTGGAATGAAGGACTGTGTGTGTGTGTGTGTGTGTGTGTGAGATGGTCATTTCTGAAGTGTAACCCACTCCCAAAAGGAAACTTTTGGTCAACCAGTCTGTTCTGTTAATGGAAAGTACTGGACTATGTTTTCTGAGACCACAATGTTGAAAAGGAAAACCTGTTTTTTTCTCTCCTTGTGTCACAAAATATATAACAGCTCTTCGCACATTCAGATTCATTTTGACAGTTGACGACAGGATGAGGAGAGTACTTTCAAACCCCAAGTCCATTTCCTCTCTGAAAACATGTTTCCCCTCTATAGCAGCAAGGACATAACTAGCCATGACTGTGCATTTTGGGCTCGACAACATACAGAATGATTGAGTAGTATGCAATAGTAACATGTTATTTAGATGTTTTTTTGTTGTTCAACATTTCTAGCTATTGGAAATATTGTACGTGATTGTGTATGACAGTTACTTTATAACCACATCTATGTTATGAAAACTAGTTAATGTACAACTGTAGGTGTTATCATCTTACATAATTCTTTCCAGTGTGTTAAAGCAGATCTCATGACCTAGCCTTTGATAGTGAAATCAGTGCATGCAGCTATGCACATTAGTGTGCATACAGCCGATACACGTGTTCTGTTTAAGATCTTATTCAAATAGATAAGCTAAAAAGGTCACGTAGGGCTGTTGTGTATTTTTTTTTTTACACAACTGCATCACAGAGTGTTTTTTTAGGGAGCTGCCCAAAGAATGTGAACTATGACAAAGTGACATAATGGTACGACACTGTCGTCACATTAATCTTCTTTTGGAATGTTATTATGATAAAAAATAGTCTTATCAGTGGACATCAAAACCATAAATCAACTGTGAGAACATGGATGGAGAAAGTGGTGCATGTCAGAGAGAATTAGTCTAGTTAAATAGTGTTTTGAAAGTAATACATGTGTTGAGCTTTAGATTTTTAGAAGATCAAAAGCATAATAGTAACTGCGACTGTTCACTTTCTTCAACCTTCTTTGCGCTAATATAATAAATTGAACTCTCAAATCCCAAGTAAAAAGTACCCATTTTAAATCATTTGAATACAGAAATGAGATGTGTTTACACACAGTACGGTGTTCTTTCTTCTTTCTGTGTCACTGAATAAAGAAATGCCGTATCAACATCATGCAGACCATCCTCTAAAAATGCAGCCAAAAATGAAGCACACTATAATCATGTATCATTTGTAACAAGGAAACCTTTCTTGTTTACAGGGTGATTTTAATTGTAGTAGCATGCCCTGTGAGGCCAGAATGTTTGAAGTTTCATTGTGCAGCCATTATTACCCACAGTAGATTACATGCAGCTGTGAGACAGGGCTATTTTAGGACTATTTTCCCACGTTTAGAGCAAAGAGGCTTCTTTCTCTTCTGATGTGGTGATGGAATGACAGGACATGCAAACCAGGCTTTGACTTTTTCTGTCAACATGTTTTGCAGCTTGGAGTGTGTGTGTGCTTCGCCTCTATATATTTTTGTTCGAGGCTAAACTTTTTGCTTGGCTGCAGGAAATGTTTGGCTAAAATTCATTAAAAGGGATCTTCAAGAAAAAATGAATGCACAGGTTGTTGCGCTTTGTAGCAAGTCCTGAGCTAAGTGAACTGATCTCAGACATGCACCGCTGCCTCTGAAAAGTAGTGTTAAGTTTGAAGTATTTCTTGTTCTCCAAAACCAACTCAGGACCTTCCTGTGCATGGAGTATATATAAGTAGTTTGGCCTGAAACGTTTCCTTAGTGGACAAATTTAACGGCAACCTCAGTTGAAACCCTGTTTTCCTTTCTTTGAAACAGTATTACGGCTTAATGGAGCGCTATATAAGGGGGCTTTCATGTGAAGTGCTCCCCGCACTGCACTACAGCTTTAATACACTCAAAGGCCCCAGAATACCAGGGTCTTCTTTTTGTCTAACGGGAGAAGCAGAGGAGCAGTTGATGAACTCAGCTTGACCAAACAAAAACTGATCTTTTACAGATTATGTGCCATAAAGAACCTCACCGTCATAAAATAAACAATAATATAAATGTGTGTGTGCTGTGTAGCATTATATGCAGCCAGTTTCGGATGAGGCATTTGAGTCTACACATGCCGTTACTGGAGATCCAATGATAATATCTTGGTCCCACAGTGTAACTGGAACTTAACTCAATTCTATTGATTTACATTAAATGTGCTTCATCTAGTCTAACGTGTGATGCTACACTGTAAACTGTACTATTGCTTTGTCTAAAAATTAACTTTTCAGAACACAAAGGAATCACTATAATTCCAATATCATGCCTGCTAGCCAAAGTTGTCCAACTATAATGGAGATGACAAGATACATAAACCCTGCAAGAAACGTCAAGCTTAATTCATTCAGTCTTTTTAACATTCCAAACTTCCTGTAGCTATAGTAGCATCCGCTGTGGCATAAACACTGATGTGTTAGATTAGCACAATGGGAGTTCATCTGGTTCAAATATTCAGAAGCACAAATAAACCAAACATGACATTCAAACAGATATTTTTGTTAGTCTGTTCAATAATAATAATGTGAAAAGTATCTTCAAATACATACTACACTAGGGAAACTCTTGGATCTTTAAACAGGCTTACAGTAAATACACACTGGTTGGCAAAATCAACAAAGCATGCATTCCATTGCTGAGTGAGGAAATCCATAGATAGAGAATGTGTGCTCATGCGTGCATGCATGTGTGCACCTGTTACCTCTGTAGATTAAGGCTGAGATTGCCCGTGCAGGCCTTAATCTTGTTTTGGGCCTCGAGGTGATTCATGCCATTTGTGGAAACGCCATTAATGGACAGAATGACGTCTCCAACACTCATATTGGCTCTGGCTGCTTTGCCTCCATCAGTCAGCTGCAATGAAACACAAAGACATCTTTGTTTAAAAGAAGCTCACCATTGACCTATTAGCACCAAACAAAGAGTATTCACAAGTGACAATACCAGTTCCAACACCAGTACTCTTAAAGTGACAAAGATACCAATAGAGTACTTCATTCGACACCTATCATATAGAAGCATTCAGTTGCGTATAAAGGCACCACCACCATATTTACTTTTCTCTGACACCACAGGCGTGTACAGCCATACTGTCTGACACTTTGGTGGCATCTCAGCCTGCTGTGCACCACACCACAGATTGGGTTGTAGCTGCTGTGGATGTGGGCCAATCACACGTCACATTAAACTGAATGTTTCTCATTGACACATATATGTATGTGCTGTATTCAGCACTTTGAAAGAGCACCACTGCTAATGATTGCGGCATCACGTGGTGTCGTTCTCCCAGATTTGCAGCTTTTACGATGTCAGAATAAATATTAGTTTTGGTAATCTTCAGATCTCCCCTTTAGATTTTGTAAGGGGGCCACACACCCACTGCTTTTGCTGGGTGTCTTAACGAAATTCAGAGACTTGAAGCCACGCAGGGTTTCCTTTGCAGTGTGCTTCATCTGTTATTGTGGTGTTGAAAGGTGCAGTTTGTTTGCTCTGAAGATGGTTTTCCTTTGGGAGCTTAATGTATTTGGCTCCGCCTCTTGTCCCAAGCCAGCCTCCCAATCAGTAAACTGTTTTCTTTGATCACACGCTCTTAGCCTTTGTATATTGAGTAAACTGTTATCTATGTATTGCAAACTCTATTAATGTATTATAAATTAAACAGAAACCTGAGTTTTAGGTATTTTTCAAAGCAAATGAAAGTGAGGAAAAGCTTAATACTTTTAATATGGGAAAAGTAAAAAGCTAAAAGTTAATACTTCGTAGTTTTGACTCCAACTGTGGAGGCAAGGGCTTAAAAGCTTAAATGTCGACAACTGTCTTTCTACCAGGGAGCAGCGTATGGTGAGATTAAGGTTTATCAGGTCTTCTATCCCTTTTCACCATGCTGAGACTTGCATTGCACACGCAGGAAGCAACTTATTAAAACCATGACGCTGGGGTGACTCTCTACCAGGTGTGGTGTTTGACCAGTGAGCGCACTCAAAAGCCTGTAACCTGCTGGAACAGAACTCTGTGTGCTTATTATATTATGCTGCTTTTGTTGGGGTCATATCTCTATGTCATCTCCCAGCAGTGTGAAGTGAACCTACTAAATACTTTAAATAAGGACATGGGGAGCACACTGGTGTACATGAGGTGGCAGCTCAGGTGAGATGAATGTGTTGAGAGACTGAAGAGTATATTGAAGAGGGCATGAAGCATGATGGCAGGACAGTGATTTCATCCGTCAACTCTTTCGAGTGTGTCATCAACGAGTCATTTCTATGAACCTATACAATTTAAATGCATCCAAAAGACCTTCCACTTTTCAGGCACACACATTTGTAAGTAGTTATTTATAAAGAGCCGGCCTTGAGTCAGGGAGACAAACTCAAGGTATTTCCTGTGTATTCAGGTTAGCTAACTCTAAAAAGACTTCCTCCTTCGCTTTAAAAAAAGAGCCAATGAGACGTAAAGAATGTGCCATTGTGTTAATAATGAATTGGGGGGGGGGGGGGGGAGCGGGCGGGAGAGAGGGGGAGAAAGAATGAGGAAGTGACAATGGCGGTGACCGCCACATTTTTTCTGGAGCCGTGCTTTCCTTGTGTCATTATCAAGTAGATCAGTAGCAGGAAGTGTAGAATGCATAGCTGAGGCTGATGTATGCATACCCACGTCCAGGAAACCTATAGTGCAGCCACATGCTAAGTGTTGCTCACAGAAGGGCAGGGTACTCACAACGCAGGCATGAGCGCAGCTTCAACTGACTCACTCACAGACTCAGAGACACACCTGCCACGTGAGTCCGTCCTGACTCATTTACTTTCAATAAAATAACTCATTACTCCTAAACGCAAGAGTGTAAGCACTCTTCAGAGATCACTGGCATTTGCTGCCTCTTCTAGTAGACAGCTCCAGAGGTCAATGGCATTAAATGAGCTGCTGGATTGACGAATGAACACGGAGTCTTCTCTCTCAATCTCCCCGTGTCTCCCTCTGTGTGTGCGTTTGTTAGAGAGGAAGAGAGAGAGAGAGTTCTCTCCTTGTAGGGATGTGAAAAAAGACAATACTATACAGCTCTATATATGGCAACTCCTCAAACACTATTTCCAGACACGAAGAGAGGAGAAGACTCCTGTAACATTCTCACGAAAAAATATGGTTTTATATGCGGTTAACAATGTTAAATGCTGTAGTCTGTGGTGAACAGAGAGCACTTTATAAATCCCAACTTCCTTCAGTCAAACACTGTCTTTCTCACATGGATACAAAGCAAATAGATGTTACAGTAGGAATGTCTGGCATCCACAGTCTATAAATATAAAACAAGAGAGGTCTGAAGCACTCGTGACGAAGAGAAGATAAGTAATGAACTGGAACTTTTGGATATTCTACTCCAGCTCTCTCAGGAGAGAAGAGGATGTTTCAGCAACAAATACTGTCCAAAAAAAAAAAGACGTCATCCAAGGCAGTTTCCCACGAGTCAAAAAGTTGAATTTAAAAAGTAAAAAGAAGAGGGACGTCTCCAATTGAATGACGTGTCTCTTCCAACTGCGCTTACATGAATGGGATTTCAGCCACATAATGGTGTGGCTGCTGTGCTGCTGTGGTCCTCTCCACGCTGCTGATTGTACTGCAGTGCAGTTACTGGTAATGACTGGTTCTTCCAAACAACACATGTTCCTCTGCTCCTATAAATGTAGCGTGAATACAGCATGTTGCTCAATACTTGGGAGATATATCTAAATGCTTAAGACAAATCCTCAGTGGATATTATATTACGAGCTAAACAGCCTCTTTTATTTATTGCTGGTAAAAAATGTCTTTCTGCAGGAATAGCGTATTCACATTAATAATTTTTAAGAGAGGAAGAGACATTTTAGAGGGATTTGGTACCAGACGTCACTATAAAAAGAGGAGCAGAAGCCTAAAAAACAGTCCATTGCTTCCATGTGTCTTCAATTCATCTATTGTACAGCCGTAATCAAAAACAGTTATAAAAGCTGAAAACAAAATTAGTTCGTCCCCAAAATCTGTTAAGATTTCGATGTTTACTCAGTAATCAACTTATCTGCAGTAAGGCAATAAATGAATAACTAAGAGACATTATTGGTGAAAAAAAGACAGAGATTCTGTTTGGAGAGAAATCAGCTTTGCTAAGTAGTTGATACGGCAGAATCTATGACCTACAGTGCCTCTCTAGAGATGGTCTCTGTTCAGTGTAGGCTGCTGCCAAACCTCCTATTATACTGGAATTCTTCAGATCAATGCTGTACTTTCAAACCGCTGATTTACGGTGTTTCGTTAAACATTTTAAATTCCACACAAACCTCTATATGGGAGAAGAAGCCAAACACACTTAAGGTAACATATATGAGATAACACTTCAGCACTACTGGGATACTAATCACCTTACATGCTGGTGCAACTTCCTGACTTCAGTGAAATGACTGAGTAAGGAAGAGGGCTGTGGTCATTTCCCTCTTGAGAAGTCATGTTACAGGAAGTGTCTTGTGGTGAAGGCTGAAGGCCTGTGAGAAGCATGTCATGTCTGTATAAGGTAGACTAAGATAGAGGACCTTATATGGAAAAGACTTGGGCCTAACATTAGGTCATCACAAACACACAAGGCTAAAGATTGACTCACGGAACTGGCAGGACTGTACATTCAACCTGTAAAGTTCATTAAAAAGAAAGAGTTTACGTTGCGGAATCTCTGGGATGAATCTGTGAAGAGAACATTGGAGAGTACAGCGCGCTGCAACCTGCTGGGGGCTAGCAGAAGCAAAAGCCATAAAGTACAGTTTATTGTCTTCTCTTTAACGCTTGCACACCTGCAACACCTTGCATGAACTATTCAAACAATAAAGAGGCGGAGAGATCAGAAGTGGAATACAGCAGTTGGGAGGCGACCAAACGGCAAGAGCTCCAAGCCAAACATCGCAATTAAGGGCACTTGAGCGGAGGTGGACCCGTGGTTGTCATGGTTTGATCCCAGTCTCTGACTGCATCAATCCGGCGGCTGAAAAACACGAGCTACGCACGAGCTCTTTGGTCAAATCGCCATGACAACGCAAACAAAACAACACAAAGCAGTACCAACCCCTCACTGAATACTCAATACTGAATGCTCTTTAGTCAGGTCAGAAGCAAACCCGGCTGACTAGCGCTGCCGAGGCAGATGATATGAAAAGGCCTTTAGTCGGTGTTGGGGCTTGAGCCAAGTGCAAGTGCTGGTTTCCACCTGCATCCGTGATTCATTCGACTCTCCTGTGGGGTTTAAATTGGGCTTTTTTTTTTTGGATTCAGCCAAACAGCACAATGATTTAAGTGGTGAAATGTTCTGGCTATATAATGTTTCAACTGGACTGACACAAAAAGACTACCACGCCATTATATGCTGAATATACAGTTCACCTGCTTTTTAAAAGCTGACAACACAGGTTCAACACAGGTACAATAACACAACACGTGCCCGATGGCACATGATGATTGTGCGACTGTGGTAAATGTTAAATGGATTGCATTCATGTTGCAATCCAGAGAGCCGTGCAAAGCACTTTACAATGCTTTATAAGATTGGATGCCTGTTGCTATGCATGAGTGACTATCACTGTCGGTGATGTCTTTAAATCAAACGGACTTTAAAACATAGTGACGATAGTGAAGAAGGATCATGTGCAGTGGCCCATACAGCATATGGGCTCATTCCTCTCACCTCTCAAACGGAGAGAAAGATTGTTGCTTAAAATACCTTTAAAATAGTGTGCGTAATCAAAATCAAAATGAAGAGACGGCTTGGTTATTCTTTATAGCTCTGCCATATAGCATTAGGGAGATTGAAAGCAGATGTCCTCAATACAACTCCAGACAGACACCAGGGAGATCATACTGGGATCAAACACAAACTTCAGATAACTGTTTTCTACTAAATATGTAACCTGAACACATCTTTATGACCCTGCATGAAATCATGGATTATTAAATATGCCTTGTGAAGCGTATACTCGCAAGGCTATGAAATACGGGATGAACTTCACTGGTTTCGATTGAATTTCAGTTTCCATGTAAAAAAGAAACTCCAGAGACTTTAATACAAGAGGCAGATAAAAAATACAGACAAACTATATGACAGCTATGCAGCACAGGCCACAAGTTATCTGTCTCAATAGTTTCCTGAAATGCCAGTGGAGTTTTTTCACTGTCTGGTTTTATTTCTTCTGGATCTGAGCTGAACCAAGTTACGTCTCTCTCTCAGGGGAGATTATTCTTTATCCAATGAGTTACACAACACACAAACTTCGTGCAGAGTTAACAGTAAATCAATGACAAAGAAACGGCCAGATTTCCTCTAATTGCAGCGATTCTATTTCTTTGCACCGTCGTAACATCTAAGACTCAACATTAACCCTTTCTTACTATTCAAATAACCTGACTGTGCAACCTATTCAGTCAAAGCACATCCAAATGGTGTCTTTTGGTTTGCATGTGGATGTAAATGCACAATAAGGTGTCAGAAACAATACAACATGGTTTTGAGCTGTTAAATGTTCCCAAACGAAATCCGGACTTGTTTGCGTAGAGAGTATTAAAGTGCAGTTTTGGTCAACCTTTTAAGTTTAGCACATGCTGGATGTACACAGCAACATAGTGAACGACTGGTGAGAAAGTAATATGTTTACAAATCAGATCAATCAGCGTAGTAGAGGGTGTTTCAAACTGAACAGCTGTCTCATTGGTTTCTCATTGGAAACCCACCAAGCACACCTCATGAAGGTTTTGGTTCACTTAGCTCTAATAATTAACTAAATTGACTATTATATATTATAATATATATAACATTATCATTTATTGAGCTAATAATATTTCCCAGCTAGCCAACGAGGGCCTCTATTGGATCCTCCTCTCTTAAAATGAATGCACAAAGAATACCTTTTAGCCCTGATGTTGATCGCGGTTGCCCAGATACACTTCATCACATTCCTCTTCTTTGAGAGTGAAAGTAGCCTCAACATATTAACACATAATGGGGGTGCTTGAAAAAGAACAAATCTGGAAGCCTAAAGCCCACTGCAAACACAGAGCTAAAATTAGTTCGTATAACGTTCACTCAAAGTATCGCATGCCACTAAAAACAACAATCCAAAGGACACAAAAGACGAGGAGGGGAAGTGAGGGGTCAACGGGGAAAAGGGGGGGGGGGGGACATTTTTCTGTGCTGAGCCCCAGCTGACCTTTTGTAACCAGTTATTCTTTAGGTTTAGTTGTGATGAACTATTCTTACATAATATATTGTTTTTAGAATAAGGGCCAAACTGTTTCTCAACTGAACTCAAATGACTGTGTGTTGTGCTTTGTCTTTTGACTAGACGTGTTCTGCTGTTTCATAAGCAATGTAAACATAACTGAAGTCTTTCCCGTGCGGAAACCTGTCAAGAAATGCCTAAAAAAGGAGCTGGAATAACCGCGGATGATGACGGAGAGAACATAACTGGGGACCTTCTTCATAAGTCATCCTTACAGTACACTAAATAAACAAAAGCTTTAATGTGAACGAATATTCTTTCCTGCAAAGTCGGTCTAATTAGCTTTGTGGGTCTCTAATGAACCTTAAAATAAGCAAATGATCGAAACAATTTCCTCGTCGCTCAGCTAATGAATGAACTGAAGTAATTGTTAAGCTGTTGGCAGATGTTTCCATATATGTACATTCTACTCACATACTCCTCCCTTTGTCAATACAATTTTTAACTTAGATTACAGATACAATCTATCACTTTTAAGGAAATGCATGTATGAAAATGTGTAGCTTTACTACAAAGAGCGCATGTCCAGGATGCGTTCTGTTGGCTGTGCCCTATGTGACATTGGGATTTGGGAGATAAATAGACAAAAGGGGGGCTTATTCCTGGCGCCGGGACAACAACAAGAAACCTAAGCTATTTATGGTGCCATTCACTGGTCATGCGCTGGGATGAAAATATCTCACAGGAATGACACTAACCAAGAACGCAATGGAGCGAAAAGCTGTGAGAGTCATGTTGTTTGGCTCAGCAGTACCGAGGCATGCTCCAGACCACTGATGACTCCACACAGGACTGCTGGTGGACGCAGGAGGTGTATTCAACGCGTTTGTGGAAAGAATTAATCAAAAACTACCACATTACATGAATGATTTTAACAGATTCAAGGCTTCGGCTTTTTGGACATTCTTCAAAACTCACCTGTCTTTCTTTTATTTTAATCTAGCAAAAACATAACATGTTGGCACATACTTACAAATATCACAATCAGGTGTCAGGTGACCATCTGCTTCTCATTTTTCAAGTGGGTTTTATGTAGTGTAGTAAGAATATTTCACCATATTAACTCAAAAACCATTGTCTTACCTGTTATGAAAATTAGTACATATTCAAGTCTAAATAGTAAAAATAATGTGGGAAATTTGGGTCTGCACTCTTGTATTTGCGGACCCTTAAGGATTCCTAGTGAAACTACATTGAGCTGCTAAAAGTGGAGGGGATTTTAAGCAGATGTTGGTCCTGTGTTTCTTTAACAGCCAATGCCAAAACTGAAAGGGCAACAGAGGCAAAATGGCCAATCTGATGCTGATTTTGTTTTCCTCTTCCTCTACGGAAATACTTGAAGGTTTTCTATTTAAATCTATTCTTACAGATAAAACTTGCTCCCACATCTAATCAGGTGATAAGGGCTGAGGTGCTTTATTTGCGTATTGTTTAGTGATATAACAACAAGATGTCTACTGACAGCTACATACCACAATGACAACATAACGTCCTTCATTCCGTTATTATCAAAGTGGCAATTCATAAAAATAGTCTGAGCAGCCATGCAGCCCTTTTTTATACTCTGCGGTTATGTTTGCTCTTGAGAAAAGTCACTTCACTCCATACGAAACACTCAAACGTCTGTAACTGATCCTGCCAACAACAAATAAACAGAGTCACTGACCTTGGTTATGACATGGAGATAACAATTACATAACAGGAAGCAGCATGACCTGCTGTTGTCGTCAAAGTACAGACTGCGCTAGTAGAAGACAAGCTGTCTTCTTTTAATCCTTTTTGACAAGAAGACATGTTAATATAATTGAGACACTTCCGATACCCTTGAGAAAGACTTGACAGACTAATAGTAAACTGCACTACAGACTTCTTGTAATTTGTGCAACAATCACAGTGTTTTGCACAGAAGGCCCTTACAGCTGGACCCGTCTCATAAACAGGCCTATCAGTGGGCCCTCCAGTCCAGCAGTCCTTCTCCCTGCTGAGGACTCAACAGGACCTGGTCAGCCAGTTCAATCCCAGTTTCAGTTTATGTGGCCCAAAGTCCAAATAGTTATTACAGAACCACTGTGGCTTTTTGGCCGTTTAGGGACAGGTTCTGATGTTCCAAAAGCTTCGCATCAGGACTAACGGCAGGGAGAAAGGCCCGGACACTCAGCACCATCCCTCATCTGAATGACCGAAATGACAGCAGCAGTCGTTAACAGCCATCAGCTTAATCCACCAAATGTATCCTGAATGACCGTCAGAGAACTTCAAGGGAGTTTTTGAAAATTGACGGATATTGTGGTTATGGTTCGGTTATGTAACACTATTATGACAATTAGTCCTAGCCTTTACGGGCGGTAGGTCATGAACGTGGGGGACTGAGTGACAGAGGCCATGAGCTGTTGGGAAAGGTGGCTAAATCCAGCAATGAGTGTCACACAGGAGATGGACGACACACACACTTTCATCACTGACTAGACGAATGGCATAGTGAGCATGGACAGCATTCCTCAGAGGTGACTGTCATGGAGTGAAGGCCACATAGGTGTTGTGTGTATGTGTTTCACTCACCCGTGAGATGGTGAGGGGCATACAGAAGTCCTTCCCTCCTTGCAGTCTGAAGCCCCAGGGGGCAGGGCCAGCCAGGGAGACACTGTAGCTGCTGCTCATGATTCACCTAGAGACAGAGGCGGAGATGTTTTTTACACAAGGAAGGAGAAGAAGAGAATAACAGGAAAACGAGGATGTAAACAAACAGCGTATCACGCTACATTTAAATGTTGTGCAACCAACAACTGGCATTTAGAAAAGATGACTGCATATTGTACCTAAACCCAAATAGGAGCATTCTTCTGATGAGATTAAAAGGTACGCCATTGTTTGTTGTCCACCACTGTGTGCTATGAAAACTATTAACGCGGTAAAGGATATTCATTATTTTCTTTTTTTCAATCCAATAACATTTCACCAGACCTGTTGGGGCTCCTGTCACAGTCACAAGCCATCTATTCAAGTACAACAGTCTATCAAGAGTCCTCTACTGAAGCTCATGGCTCTCTTTAGAGCAGGTCCCTGGCCCGATTCCATCTGCAATGAGGGTAATAGTGAGTCTGTAATATATCATATACAGTAGATAGTGGACAGGTACGCTGGACTTGCAAACAAAGACGTAAGACATAACCGTTAATGACATGTGCATTGCAGGATTTATAATGCAACAGGATGTCAAAGAGCTACACCTCAGAATGGATTAGTTCACTCGACCACGTTCATTTGAGAAAAAAAAAATGTAACGTAAAAGCATTCATCTCTTGTCACCAAACATTTTGGACTTTAAAAGAAAAAAACTTTTAGTAGTAACTAAGCATTGAATGCTGTTGATGCACATCCTCCAGCGAATCAGAAGTAAGCCACCGTATTAAGAAAAGAGAGAAGGAGAAGTCAGAGATATTTATAGCACGGAAGTACTGACTGTCCTTTGTTTACCTTTAAAGAATCAGATCAGCGTATCTGGACCTGCACTTTGGACCTTTGATCTCAGTGGCTTTTCACTGAACCCACTGCTTTTGAAAAATAAAAAGGTACCCAGACTGAGCACACCTACATTAAAAAAGAATCTGATTTCATGGAGATACTGTACACCATACTAACACACAGTGAAGCATTTAAAAAAAATCAGGCATTGGGAGGCAAAGACACAGTTTTTCTGGTTTTCCTCTTCCAAGTAAGACGTGGTGTAGTGAATCGTCCCGTATCTGTACCATCATTAACACTCATTCCTGGAGTTGAGAAATCAGGATTAGGAGATTGAAACCTTGATATAGAATATCTCCTAAATTCTGTTAGAACCCCCTGTTAATCCCTAACAGAGTGAGCGTTGGCCTTTCCCTCAGGCAGCGGTGGTGCTGCTGGGGCAAAGGCCAGACACACCCTGGATGGCCGGAGACTTGACAGAGCTCAGCTGCCGTCTCGTTAGAGAGCAGGTCTGCTCTGCATTTCAACATCTTAATGGCTAAATGCATCATCAGCCACCACATTACCTCATGGATGGATACAAATACCATATCCCGATTATACATGCGTGCATTCAAATCAAAAGGACAGTTCCAGCAAAGAAAGACGATTTGGTGCGGAGCAATATTTCATGCACTATTGAGTTTCACTGGTCTAAACCCTGCCTGTCATGCATTCCTTTTCTATTGAAAGATTGAAGCTGCGAGCTATTTACTGGAAGCGAGACTGGGGTTAAGTACAGTCACATGTTAAGATTTAGTATAATATTACATTTATTAGTTTAATGATTGAGGAAATTGGTATATCAGGCTGTGTACTGTGGAGAGAAACTGAGAACCTGGGAAAGCTGAGACTCGTAGTTGTGATGTAATGAACTAAAGGTGTTTCTGTTGAACAAGAAGACAGTAGAGGGACTGGTGGTGAACAGAGGGGTGTGATTTGGTGCTGAACTTACGACTTTTAAACTGCAATGCAAATGACAGACATTTGAGAAATCTGCTCTTTCATTTCTGGCTTTGGTAAACAGGATGTTACTTCATCAGTACGATCAATGGCTGAAAGAACACGTGTGCATGTGACTTATTAAATTAAGCAATTAAATGTGTCAATGCCTGCCTTGACAAAAGGGGGCACAAGAAAAAAAAACATACTTTCCTGAATAATAATAATGCCTTGTCATCTCAGAGCAATTTCATTTTGCGGTTGTAAGTCATGCTGCCGTCACAAATTCCCTCAGGGACACAGCACCACCTGCTCTAGCCCGTCACCTGGTTAACTGTACCAGACACACGTCAAACCAGAGGGTCGGCCCGCACACTGTTTCTCCATCACGCCTGGAGGGGAACAGGCTCTTTAAAGAAGCCATCAATGGAGCCACCAAAAAAGGGTGTGTGGGGAGATAGAAATAAAATCACGTGTGAAAGCGTTAGGAACACCTGGAAATCGCAAAGCACAGAGCTCTACTATTTATACAAAACTCTTTCACAATCGAACTAAACACAAACACACACGAGCACACGGGCAGAATACAGGTATATAATAAGAAAGCAACCAATTTAAGACAGCTGTCCCCTTCTTCAAGGTGACTAAGGTGTATTCAAAGATCTTTGAGACAAAAGTCACGGCTTGACGACATGCTCCCGTTGTTTAAAACAACCCTCTGTCAGTATTAGATTTCACATCTCAGTCTACAGAAAGGTTGATGGTGAAATCTGGATCAGGCTCAAGTCATATCAGAAGCATTTCTTTTTCCTAATATGGTAAGAACAAACATTAGGTCTCATGCTCAAACTTGTTTTCGCAATCCCCAATCATATCATGCATAGACATGAGCAGACACACCTTTCAGTGCACAAGCATTTTATCAGCAGTAATCACTTCAACACTTCCGCTAGTTCAGACATAATTCAGGGTTACGTTCCACTCGGGCCTTATCTTTCAAGCTCCTGTCATAACGGCAGATTATTGTACTTAATATTTCAGCAGGTTCACACCAAAAGCAAGATTAAAACACAACACTTTCACAATGGGATCAAAGTTATCTACTGTCAGACATTTATGCATTTTTTGTGGATGTTATTTGAACTTGCTTGATCAAATTAGCAGGTAGATTATCCAAATAGTGTCTTTAAACATTAAAACTCACGGCAAAAAAGCTTTCTTAACTGAAGAAGATCAAACAAGGATCGACAGGGTCGAATGTATAAGTGCCATTCACTAGCCTGACCTCAATGCTCTTTGCGCTGCATGTGTCAGAATACAGCTGTGTTTCCTTCAGGTATGCCTTCAGTTATATTGGGAAGCGCCTGTTGTCTGTTGAGAGTTTCAGACGTCATGCTCATTTCACAATTCTTACATGAGACAATGTTGCCTGGTGACATTGCAGGACATGTTGACTCACAGAGTGGAGTATGCTTTAATAAGAGTGTGTAGGCCCACTGTACCTCACCAGTACGCTGTCGATGACATCTATTACATTATTATGTGTCAATATCAAAGTTATATTCCATATGAATGAATAGCAATGTACACTTTTTGTTATACTACACGAAAAAAACTTAAGAAAACTGTTGACAGCAAAATGTATTCAATGTCTTTGGCTTATGTATCAGAGGGACACTTTTTGTACACTGGCTGATTACACGTTTGTTCTAACAGGTGACCCATTCTTACATTCAGTGTCTACTTTTCAAATGCCTACTTTTTATTTATTGAATTGTTTCACCTCAGTGTGCAAGTCAAGACCATATATACCTTCTAGGAGTAGTTATCTAACATAAGCTTCAGTTGTTGTCATCCTGGGACAAAGTGATTAATACCCAGGTCCTCTTCAGTCGTGTGTTTACTTTTAGGGACATTTCTTAGAGTGTGTAAAATCCCGCATGGTTCTCACGGAACCGGGATCTTATTAATGTGCCTTTGGTTGCCTCAGAGGGTGTGACATAAAACACATGTCAGACATTATTAGTGCGCAAATCTGATATACTTTTATCCCACTTGTTGCTTGTCTGTAAAACAAACGTAGGAGCAGTATAACAACTCCTTTACGTGTTGTGGAGTTTGTTGTAAATATTTCGATGCACACACTGTTACGGTATTTTAATTACAACTTTGTAACGGGCGCATGTAGCAGTAAGATAAATAAAATGGAGACTTAACCTGTCTCGTTATTTAAAAAGGTCTTGTCAGATAAACTCACCTTGCGTTGTGAAGCCGCGGGTCCGGTGTGCAGAGAGAAGCGTGACTGTAGTCCGTCTGTTCTCAGTTTAGAAGTCAAACTGGACAGAGCGGAACTGAAACTTCCGCATAAAAGCCAGCCCCATCTGGCTGCTGGTAGGAGGGTTCACAGCGGCGCGTGTGTGTGTGTGTGTGTGTGTGTGTGTGTGTGTGTGTGTGCGTGTGAGTGTGTTTACGTGTATGTGTGTGTGTGTGGTTGTCGATTTAAGGCAACGCAGCAGCAGGCATGGGCATGTCAGACTGGGACAGAACAGGTGAGTTTTAGTTGAGCGATCACTGAACGTGTCCTTTCGTTGTGGGGATAAAGCTCAGCATGATACTCGGTCACATATGCAAAAATGACTAAATCTATAAAGCTATATAGCTATAATTGACTTGACAGATTTCCTCATAAATTATTTGTATCCACGTGTTCTCTCCAAGATTTCACTGTGCGCTTTCCCTTTGCATTTTGTGTGCTCCCATTTCTCTGTAAAACGTTTTGCAACATTGTTGGGTGTATCATTGTCATTTGTTTATTGCTTTTCCATTCTACAGCTACTGTGACAGCAGGTTTCGAGCTTTACTCAGATTTTAGTGGCACAGTGTTTGCATGCTCTCTAGTGGTCAGCAAAGATAGTACATGCTTCACATTCAAATCCTGTGGATTTAACCACTGGGCGTCATGGCCGGAGGCTAAGTAGTGTAGACTATTACTTATCCTTGTCTCCTCCGCAAGCTCATACCTAAATATGTGTCACTCATCTTGTTGTCTTGTTTCTCTATTAACCAAGACATATCTTCTAGCCTGAGGCGGAGGTTTTCATGAAGCCAACTCAAGCCAATGAAAATAATAGAAAAATCTGTGACTGAAAATTGTGAGTTCTGACCAATATAAAAACAAGGTTTTACAAAGTAAGATTAGATTACATTTACATACTCTATGTGGATGTACCTTTCCTCTAGCACCACCATCAGGACAATATTTTTGACGTACAGTAATATCTCCAGCACGTTTAATGCTACACAGATGATACTGATTAGTTTGACAGTTGAATAGTTATTTTAGTCCTTCGTGTTTTGGACTGTTGATTGGAAAAACATTTTAATATTATAAGACATCACGTTGGAGTTTGGAACAATTAGAAAATGTTTTTATTATTTTCTGACATTTTATAAAAAAAAAATCTATAATTTCATTAATCGAAGAAATAATCTGCACATTAATTAATAATAAAAAGAATCATTAGTTGCAGCCCTATTTCTTATGTTCCAACAGTTTTTTAAGTTCTTGTCTGGTCTGCAGGTTAGGTGGGAGATTAAGAGGTTTGGCAGTATTAGGGGGAAAACCTTTATGAATTCTGGTCAGTATTAGATAACATATCTGGACGTTTTTCACAAAGGTAAAACACGGCATACTTATTTGGTGGACAAAAGCCTGTAATCCCTCAGGTGTAAAGTATGATTATAGCACAATCCACAGTTTCAAACAGGACAGGAATGTGTATACTATATGTCGACATTGTACAGTATTATGTTAAATATTTTAATCAAAGTGATGTTTCACACTATTTTAGCATTCCAATCAATTGACCTGCTACTACTTTATTACTTTAAATAATATTACTTTGTCTTAACCCTTGTGTTGTCTTCACTTTCTGTATACACTACTTGTCCTAAGGGTCAAAAATGACCCGCCTTCACTAAACCCCTAAAATAAAACTGCTTGATTGCATTTTAAATCCCAAATCTATTTTGTATGAAGAAATACAAAGTCATTCATCACAAACTTTGTGAATATCTAAGTTTTTCCTCTTCACAGTGCAGAAAGACTGTGTTTAATCTGGAATCCACTTCTTCCAGACCTCTCTTATGGCCGCAAGTTTGTCTGTCACACGCCTTGCAGGTCTTGACTCACGATTATCAAATCGTATCGTTTTTGAGAAAGTATGAAAGACTTTCAGTGACATCATTGCACGGAAAATCGCCCTTCCACTCTCTGCATCCCAAAGACTAGATGCAGCCTCGCCTCGGGACCTATACACACCTGCTAAGATTAGCAGCCCGGGCAGGTCAATCTCATCCATCCATTTCCAGTTGTCTGGGGGTGCTGTCATCTGCTGCACCTCTATAGCCTCTGACTGCTTTCCCCATTAGTAAACAGTGCTTTCAGGAAATGTTTATTCTCTTTGATCTTGTTTGTATTTTGTCTGTGAACTTCAGCCAGGTGTGGGGTCGTGGAGGGGAGTTTTTGTTTTCCCTGAGTTCAATCAGTAGCACACGTAATCTCAATTTCTTGTGTGTGTGTGTGTGTGTGTGTGTTGTTGTGGTGTGTTTTTTATGGTTTCTGTAGTATGAAAATGATTTTATAACTACCGGGTCAAAAATGACCCCTAAGACAAGATGTGTACACTGTTGGTGTACAGCTTTTATGGAAATATGAACAAAGGCAATGTTTAACTTTTTTTCATGTTGGGGTCATTCTAGGAAAATTCATTGAATTTCAAGTTGAAAAAAGATCATTAAGGGAGTTTCCTATGCTGTTAAACATAGTGACGGGTCATTTTTGACCCCTACACAAGGGTTAATCTGATTTGTTTGAAAGAAATCACATTGATAGCTATTCCAGCTCTCTCAAATGTTTTTGATCCTTTTATTTTTGCGATATTCTGTTGAATAAATATACATTGATTTTTTTGTACATGTTCAAAAGGCATGACACATTCTACAGAATACCATTAACTCAACCAGTGAAGCTAGATAGATGTTTGCATTCTGCAGCATGGGTCAGCTGGGCTTTCTTTCAGTTACATGTGCGCCACATCAATATATGGTTATAGACTAATGGGAAGCCCAGCAGCAAAATTCCCCTGTGCAAAGCGATTGAACCACTGAAGTGCACTAGTTCTTTATGTAAGGCTCGCTGTACCTTTAAATCATCTTTACATAACTGGAGAAGCAAACCACTCAGGAATTAAAGTTCAAAGACATGTCAACCGGGGTCTTTCTGGGTGTTTGATTTCGAAGGAAGAACACACTTTAAGTGTCACTCTAAATAAATTGCTCATCCTTTTGAGGGAACTGTACCATGTAATTACATGGACACACAAGTAAAAGTGAAAAAGGATGCAAAATGTAGAACAGCAACCCCCTGCTAATAGAGTCATACATCTAACAGATCCACATTATTTATAGACTTCTGTCAGCCTGGTCTCGGTCAAAGCACATGCACTGTGTGTTCTGGTTTATACATCCAGCACGGGACATCTGTTGATGTCATCCCATTCTCTGTGTTTACTCTTGCTGCTCTACGGTATAAACAAATAGAAAATGAATGGGATTGTGTGGGTTAAAAAAAGAAATAGAGGAAAATAGATCCACCTCCTTCTGCTTCCTGACAGCACTGTGGATTTACAAATATTTTTTACCTACATACTATATTTGTAATTTTGCAAGCTCTAAGAAGATGGGCCAAAACAATGTGTTGAAAGGTTTATTTCCCACCACAAATACACACAGGACTAACCATTCTAGTTTAAGATTTAACGATAGCACCAAGGGCAACAAATATGCAATATTCTAGAATTTTCCGTGATTGCTGCCGTGGGAATACTGTTCCTGACAACGTGCAGCCTTCTTCCTGAAATGTACTACGACTCACTTTGCTTCGCAGAACGCTTTATATCAAATATATTACATTGTTTCCAAGTAAGCTGCAGTAAATGAAATGTTGGGCTGTAAAACGCATTACTGTGGTGCCTGAACTCATAATACAGCACATGCACATATGGAGGCAATAGTGCATTATAGACATGGCACTCACAAGACATTGATATGTAGCTTTGGTAACTAAATAAACAAGTGTACAAAAATCTGCTTCCTCACAAAATAAACAAGAAACACTCCAAAAAGAGACAAACTTCGGTCTCTCAGCAACAAGTTGATAATAAATATGGTCGGTCTTTAATTAGTTCTTCTTTGTATACAGTTGATTCTGAGCTCTTTTGACAAAGTGCATACTATTTTGAACTTTTTAAAGGTAATTCTAGATCAGGTTCCATTTGTGATCTATTCCTTTGTTTCACTGTGACAGTGTCGATAGTACCGAAGACAAGAGTAGTATTAGTTTGTATGTTAACAGCAAGCCTGAACAGGAAAGGTGTGTCTCAAGATTATTATTTAAAACAGTTGTGTATACAATTGCACAAAAACCTATAAACAAATGTATTTGGTTGCACTGCATTGCTAAACAGTTGAGATAAAAGTGTTGTCAGCTGCTTCAGTAGTTACCTCATTCTTGAACAACAAAAACAAACTTGTTTACTTGATGTGTGTCACAGTCACATGTAACATTTAGCTTAGTTATCTTTGCACGGACTCAAGCGCTTGAGCAGAACAGTCCAGAGGCTGTAAATTCAGCAACAGTTCTCTCTGTCTGCTCGGTGTGTTTTCTTTTTCCTCACAATAGCTAGGGTCCAGAGGGCCTTTCTTTGAGTCTGGTCTGACGATAGCTTGGGAGTGCACACATACAATATTGTCCAGAGAGTCTGGCTGGATGAGGACCCGCGGCTCCTTCTCATCGTTCTCCTCCTGAACTTGCCGTGTCTCTCTCTGTTCATGTTCATCTTTCTCCACTTCCTGTGTCGTCTCTTTATTCCAACTTGTAGTGTTCTCCTGCCTTCTCCTCCACAAGGCCGACGGCATTACTGTGTTGACACACTCAGGCGATAGGGCGCGATCACTTCTGTTCAATGAGCCTCGCTCTGGGATGTGGATCTAGAACAGAAGTAATCGACAGGACATAGCCCTTTATGAATACATGATTTTGACTCCATGATTATTAGAATCTAAAAACAACAAATATAATGATGAGCACCTACCCTACCTGCTCTTGGCTTTGGCTTCCCTTTTCCTTGGTCTGCTTAGCCAATGACGTGTGCTCTTTGTCCCTCAGAGCTCCAAGGGAATAGCTGGACCTCACACAATGGCTCTGATCGATAGGTTCCAGCTCCACATCACTCCAAACCTGCTACAAGGGACATGCACATTAATGCATGTAAATC